AGTAGTGTGACATCTTGATAAGCTAAGCAAAAAAATTCTATGACACATAAATAAGACTGATAGAAGTAGTAGATTAAAAATAATGAGATGATCGTACAAGTACAAGATGTTTTACATTGATGGGCTACTTGTCAGTAAATGAGTGACGCAAATAAGTTTATTATTTGCGTCGCTTCAATAAATAAGAGCGACGCAAATGATAGAAAGCTAACATACACTTGTTTTTTGCGTCGCTTCTTTAATAACAAGCGACGCAAATAACTTTACAGTATGGTAAAAATACACATTGCTTTCGTTCTTTAGAATGAGTGACGCAAATATGGCGACGCAAATGAGCCTTTTTTACTAGTGAATCCTATTGATTGCATGTTAGTCAGAAAGCGCACATGAATACGATCAGAATAAAGTAGAGGCCTATTATTAGGGCAGGTTCAATCTCTTTTAGGTTGGATTTGTACCATCATCCCTGAACCTTATTTGGTTCATGACCTTATGGAGTTGACGATCTCTTGGATCGTTAAGGGGTGTAACCTTCACCTCGTGATGGTTTACAAGTTCCTTAAAAACTTGTTGGCGACTCTTTTGCTCTATCTTCTTCCCTTTTGGACGCCACTGTACTTTAGTGTATGATCATAGTGGGGTTCAAGATAGTGGGATTAAAGGCTTGAAATTATTCCCTACAACTGTCATGGCGTAGTAACGGGAGGGGTGGTGCTAAAGTAAGGGGGTCTGGCATGGTGGGTTGAGCTTGGCAGGATGGGGAGGAGACGGTAATGGTAGGGGGAAAGTGTGGTGGGTTTTTTTTTTTTATATATTTCTAAATTTGTATTTTGTTTTTACTTTTTTACCAATCATGGTGCCAAAACGTGCATAAACAATTGGATGACCATTTGGGATCATATTGATAAAATTCGCATTGTAGTTTGGATTATTAAAAGAAAAACCAAATTTAGGATTATTATTGGTAGATTAGGTAACGTACGGATTATTATAAACAATTTTTCCGACTTAATATGAAAGTTTAATATTAGATATATGAATTTGTGATAGCTAACCAGTGTGTTTCCTCGCAATGTTCTAATTATTGTTTAGCTACTCCCTCTGTCCCATAATACATTACACATTTCAAATATTACATACATGTCAATGCATTCGTTTGACTTTATTTTTATAAAATAAATGTTAATAAAAATTATTTTTACAAATTATATAATGAAACTTTATATTTAAATATATAGTATCTAACAACCTAATTAGGATATTTAATATAAAATATATATTTTATGATAAATATAACAGTACAAAATATATATTTTTATGATAAAATATAGGGTTTTTCTACATTATAACCCTCTAACTTTCTGTTTTCTACAATGTGCCCCACATTTTTTAGAAATCTACATTGTAACCCCAAAATACATTTACCGTGAAAACCTAATGCAATGAATAGTGAAAAAAGCCCAACTTCTCATGTATTATGGGTCGGAGGGAGTATTAATAAATGAAGTTAGTTAATTTTCTTGAAAATTGACATAATGATAAGATATAAGCAAAAAATATTACATGATACATAAATAAGACTGATAGAATTAGTAGATTAAAAATAATGAGATGATCATACAAGTACAAGATGTGTTACATTGATGGGCTGCTTACATTTAAGCATATTTATTCAAAGAAACAAAAGTAGATCGAAACATAAAGGATAAACACAAACATATATATTTGGGGAACAATCTTAGGGTTTTATTAGGGTTTCCTTGTGTTATGAAAAGGACCCTTTAATTGATCATTTATATTATACCTTTTTTTGAGCAATTAGATTTAGGACTCCTTATATTATTCTATTGTTCTTTCTCCATTATAGTGAAGAAGCTCTCGAATCCCCACCCGTGGATGTAGGTTTATTTTGACCGAACCACGTAAATCCTTGTGTTGTTTGTTTATCTTCTTTATTGCTTTTTCTCGTTCTTATTTTTCTTTGATTTGTTTCGCATTAATCAAAACACAATTACACCTTTTATTTCCTAACAAGTGGTATCAGAGACAAGGTTTTAAGGTCTTAAAGTTTAGGTGTTTATAGATTAGTTTGATTAAATTATGCCAATGAAATTTGATATTGAGAAATTCGATAGGCAAGTGAACTTTGGCCTATGGCAATTGAATATGAAAGACATCTTGGTTCAAAGTGGCTGTTACAAGGCTCTTCAAGGTGTATCCAAAAAGTCCTTCGGGCATGATGGTGGATACGTGGGAGGAGATCGATTTGAAGCTCTTTCAACAATTCAATTATATTTTCTAAATGATGTTTTGAGAGAGGTTTTCCAAGGAGACGACTTCTGCGGATTTGTGGTTGATCTTGGAGTCACTTTATATGACAAAGATCATGACCAACTGCCTACTATTTAAATAAAGACTTCATGATCTTCATCTAGAAGAAGGTAAACCGCTTAAGTCTTATTTAGATGAATTCTTTCTCTATTATTATGGATTTGCAAAACATCGATGCTGAGATCGATGATGAGGATATGGCTATTAGGCTGTTATGGTTCTTTACCGCCTACATATAAGCAATTTTGAGATACTTTATTGTATGGTAGAGATGATTTGAGTTTGGAGGATGTTAAGGATGCCTTAACTCAAAGATATTTAATTGACAATAATTTGGTTAATCTAATAATCCTGCTAAAAAAAATGCTTTAGTTTCTCATGGTGGTAATAAGAATTTTGGTAAAGGAAAAGTTTGACACTATTGTCATGTGAAGGGTCATATCAAAGCCGAGTGTTGGAAATTTAAGAAGAAGAATGAGCAGAAGTCCAATGAGGACAAATCCTCAAATATTGCCAATACCGACGATGATGATGACTATGCACTTTAGGGTTACGAGCTTTGGGGTTGCGATTTCTACAATCTCTTCATGACAAGTTCCCCTTTGAGATCTCTTGGTAAAACGATAAACCGTGTGGATTTTTGGTATGGAGTCTATGATAGATTGTTTTTTTTTTCGTTTGTAATAAAGTAGCAATTTGGTTATGCATTAAATTTTGTTCTAGTTATGCTATTTCTTATCTCAATTTTGGTACTTTTGTGATTTACTAAGTACAATTGCAATTTAGAAATTCTTGATGTAATTTTTTATTTTTCTAGAATTGCTGAAGTTTTTTTAGTTTGATTTTTTTTGAGATGAAGAAGTGTTTGAAGAGAGTTTGGTCAATTTTTTATCAGCATGCTTGGCTTCGGGACATCATACACTCAATCTAGGCCATGTGATGGTTTTGTGTATGGAAATTTTGTGTTCGGAGACGCACCGGTTCACAAGTTATGGAAGATGTCCGTATAGTGATAGCCTAATGTGAGTACGCTTATGGAGTTTTGTTTAAGGTGGAGGTTTTGTGTTTTATTATGAGCATTACTTCTTGGTTTTTGGTTCAAGGTGGAGTTACCTTGTTTTTTGGTCGATTTCAAGTCAAGGTGGAGATTGTTAAATTGTGACTCGGAATCTAGTAGGGCTGAATTTGAACGCTTATGTATCTCATTTGTGAATGATTTTAAGGTGATTCAAGTTGAGGTGATAGATTGGTTCAAGAGCTTTCCAACGATAGGTCGTATGCCCAATTCCGATAAGAAACGAGAAAGTTATGACCGTTTTACGAAAACCTGACGAAGTTGGAAATTTGCAACGAGGCTGCGAGCTATATGTCTATGCGAGTGAGCTATAGCTCGGCCCTATGAGGACTTGCGGCAGGCATGAGCTAGCTTCCGAGCTATAGCTCGGTAGTTAGGTTATTCTAGGATAATTGATGGAATATTACCTAAAATTATATCTTTTCTATGACGGCGATTTGAGTATACTTGGGGAATAATTTAGGGTTTTATTAGGGTTTCCTTGTGTTATAAAAGGACCCTTTAGTTGATCATTTAGATTATACCTTTTTTTTGAGCCATTAGATTTAGGACTCCTTGTATTATTCTCTCGTTCTTTCTCCATTATAGTGAAGAAGCTCTTGAATCCCCCACCTATGGATGTAGGTCTATTTTGACCAAACCACGTAAATCCTTGTGTTGTTTGTTTATCTTCTTTATTGCTTTTCTCGTTCTTAATTTTCATTGGTTTGTTCTGCATTAATCAAACACAATTACACCCTTTATTTCCTAACATAGTTGTTCACAAAAAATCCTAAAATATATTATGGTCTAACCTAATGCATGAATAGTGAAAAAAAAGCCCAACTTCTCATGTATTATGGGGGGAGTATTAAAAAATGCTGAAGTTAGTTAATTTTCATGAAAATTGACATAATGATAAGCTAAGAAAAAAAAATTCTATGATATATAAATAAAACTGATAGAAGTAGTAGATTAAAAATAATGACATGATCATACAAGTACAAGATGTGTTACATTGATGGGCTGCTTACATTTAAGCAGATTTACTCAAACAAACAAAACTAGAAGCATAGATATATGAATTTGTGATAGTTAACTAGTGTGTATCCTGGGCAATGATCTAATTATTGTTTAGCTACTCCCTCTGTCCCATAATACATGATACATTAAAACATTACATACATTTCAATGCATTCGTTTGACTTTATTTTAAATAATTAAATGTTAATAAAAATTATTTTTAAAATTATATAATGAAACTTTATATTAAAACATACAGTATCTAACAACCTATTTTAGGATAATTAATATAAAATATATATTTTATGATAAAATATACACATAAAAATATATATTTTTATGATAAAATATAGGGTTTTTCTACATTATAACCCTCTAACTTTTCGCTTTCTACAATGTGCCCCCAATTTTTAGAAATCTACACTGTAACCCCAAAATACATTTACCGTGACACCTAATGCATGAATGGTGAAAAAAAGTTCAACTTCTCATGTATTATGGCTTGGAGGAAGTATTAATCAATGAAGTTAGTTAATTTTCTTGAAATTTGACATCATGATAAGCTAAGCAAAAAAATTCTAAGACACATAAATAAGACTGATAGAAGTAGTAGATTAAAAATAATGAGATGATCATACAAGTACAAGCTGTTTTACATTGATGGGCTGCTTACATTTAAGCAGATTTATTCAAACAAAAAAAAGTAGAAGCATAGATAAACCACAAACATACACGATAAAATAGAAACGATTGATAAGCATCAGCAAGTGAAGTGCAAGACTGCGTGCGAGTGGAAGCGTGAACTTGGCTTATTAAGCAACAAGAATAGGATTAAAAGGAATATCTTGGTTGATGTTGGCAACAACGGTGTCATAGAAAGCAAGTTTGGAACACTTGGGAGCTTGATTTGGGAATAACATGTAGGGGAAGGCTGGACTGTTACCTTGGTCAGAAATAAACATAAACAACTTCAAGTTAAAAAGTCCATAAGAGGCTTCGGCACCGGTTATGGTCATGAGGGGACCAAATGGTGCTGCGTCGAGCCAAGGGAGAAGCTTAACATAGAGTTGGACAGTCACTCCCTTAACTTCGCTCAGTTTGTCATGTGATAAGACCGCCGATATCTGTTCTGAGCACTTGAGTACATTTTGAATAGCACCCAGTTCGTTAACCACGGTACATTTACCACGCAAGTTAATATTTAACCTGATGGAGTTTTGGTTGACAGGATCGCAGCTGAAGCTCACAGCATCACCAGGGAAAATCGAGGGCGGTAACCCATAATACTTCAAGATCCCAGGGATCGTTGAAGCAGGGCAGTGGGCATGGGCGGAGGACAGTGTTAGAGCAAGAGTAATTGCGAGGAGAGCGAGGGAGATAGTGGCTGTTTTTTGGAGACATTTTCGTTATTGGAACACTTTGCTTATTATGTTTATGTTTTATGTTGGATGTTTTAATTGGTGTTGAACCATGCACTTGATGCTACTCATTTTATAGATGGGAAGATTAAGCTAATAAGCTAAGGCATCCACTCCTTGCTAACTTGCCTCTTGGATAGGTTGTAGTCCCCCACTTTCGCTAGCTAGCGTTGAAAATATAAAACAAGAGAAATTTTGGCACCATTAAGGTCATGTGTATCACGAATTAGTATGGGGTTAAATTATATGAAAAATGGTATATGAAAGCATTTAATGAAATATCCATCAATCAATAAATCATATTTGGCATCATTGAAGAATTGTGTTTCACGAATTCACTACGATTTAAGCTAGATTATGGAAAATTTCCCTTAAATGATTCATGTGACTTCTCTTTACAGTACAAAGGTCGAGTAAACTAGCATAGTTCAGTCCTATATTGGTTTGTCCAATTTTCTTTTTAATTTAATTTGCTCATTCGTTACTAATCTACCCACTTTATTTTATGGATTCTTTGACAATTATCACATACTCCCCCCGTCCTATAATATAGTTCATATGTTCCTATTTAGGATTACTAAAATGTTGTTCTTGTTTCTATTTTTGGATGGTATATAAAGACCATTATAACCTCACATTTTAACTTTATTCATTATATTACCTAATTTACCCTTGAATTTTGCACATGGAGGGTACGTATTTTCATAGTAATTTATCCACTTTTTTCTCATATTTCTTAAATACCGTGAAAAAACACAAATAACAACTGTTACTTTGAAGTGAAGGATAACTCGAGTACAATTGTTGTTGTTTTAGGAATTACCACCTAAAGTATTTTATTTTGGTAAAAAAAAAAATACTTGTATATTGTTCTATTACTCTGAAGTGAGGGATAACTCGAGTGCTTAGAGTTTCTTTCCCAATTTGAGAAGATCCTGGTATCGAGTCTCATCCCTGTCCTTCTGGCTCTTTAAATAATAAAAAAAAATTCTATTGCTCACTTGCCTAATGGATTGATCCACTTTTTTTTTTTAACACTCCCTCACAACAACGTTCTTTGTTCTCTCTCATATTACAAATAACTAGAGTGTTCTCGTGCAAAATGCACGGATATATAATATATTAGAAAGATTTTAATTATATAATATAAGAAAAAATATATTTCAAATACGGAAAGTTGATTTAGATGTAGTAGCTTAGATCCTGTTATTTTTGAACTATTTATGGTCTACTCTAGCTCTACTCTACTAAAATTTGATACATTTTGTTGAGCTCTGCTCTACTCTACATTCACCTGCTGTACTCTTTTGTAATCCAATGTGCTATATTCTGCTCATAAACTCAAAAGAATAAAACCTTACTCTTATATGTGGGTGACCACGCAAATATGTCATTCTATTATGGGGGTTACTTTGTCAAAGTTGTAGAGTTATTCGTTCAGTGTTATAGGATTTACTCGGTTAATGTCATAGGGGTTATTCCATCAGTGCTATAGGAGGGTTACTTTATTCTTTTGCAAGCAACTATTATATGAGGCTAGTTACGCAAAAAGCGTGTTGTACATATTTTTGTTTTGATGATTAGAGAATTGGAAGTTGTTTGAATTGAAGGGTTAGGGATTTTTGAGTTCTATAGTGAATTGTTGATAAAGGAACTGTATATCCGTTGCAGCCGTGCTAATACACGACACACATTATACACGAAAGAAAATAACTCAAAGTGAAATGTTAGTAGTGTTTAAGAAAAAGATTAGTATTATTAGTTATTGCAATCTCTTGAAAAAATATATATAATTTTGTTTTAAAAAACAAAAAATAAAGTAGTGGAATGGTAGTTATTGGTTAAAAAAACCAAAAAAAAAAAAACACTAACTAACTCAAATGCATGAGATTTGAGGATTGGGGATTTGGAGGGTTGTGATGAAAACGACTCTGCAACTATATATTAGATGTTAAGGAAGTTTGTAAATAACTACCTTAGATAGTCAGATTTTGTGAAAAAACTACCTTTTTAAATAAATGTTGTAAGAAACTACTTTTTAAACAATTCAATAGATGCTATAAGAAACTATTTTATAAACAATTAATGTTGTAAAAAGCTATCTTTTGCTGAATTATTACATTGAATGAGATACATTTAAGGAGGTTTTAAAAAATGCATCGTATTACCACTAAAAACTGTTAAATGCTCCATGTATCTTTGAGGTGTGTATAAAATTGCACCAAATACCCTTAAACTCATAATAAATGTTAATCAATAACTATGTACTAAAAGACACACTAGCAATGACACGTGTCATCTCCTGGTGTGCCCTTAGTGTATTTTTAAAAAAAAAATTAATTATAGTATAAAATCTTATGCAAAAATAATTTCATATATAAGTTAACAAAGATAGTTACTTTTAAGAAAAAAAAATTGATATATCTTTTCACACAAAACATTTATGACCATAATAGAAAATATTATCAAAATTTGCGACATATTTTAATCTTCTTCAAGGAAATATTCATATTTTTTCTCCAATAAAAAAATTTATTTATTTGTTGATTAGAATTCACATCAAAGTAGTGTGTATATTTTATTATTTTTTTTGTAAATAACCAATTAAATTTAAAAGTTCATTAATACAAAATATTATTTTTTAAAAATTACCGTGCGTGGCACGGGATCTAAACTAGTTTAGTTAAATTGAGACTCTCAAGTATCAAATTATATGAAATCATTATAGTTTAATGTTAATTTAATGCTAAATCATTTTAAGTATAAGTTAACTTAATTAATAAAGAAAATTCTAACACCCAAAAGTTAAGGATTTAGAATGATCGACGGAGTTTAAGTTTCGATGTAATTTATGCTTTTAGGCGGTTTTAATTCATAAATATAAAGTACTTAAAGTGAGTCAGTGTGTGGGCATGATTTTATTAGTTTGATAAGTTAATGATATGTGCATTTGTTAGAGTATCGGATTAGGGTTTTTTGGTGCATTTATTTAAAAACTTCAGGGGTACATGGTGCATTTGAAAGCTTTCATGGGTACACAGTGTATTTTTTTTAAAACCTTAGGGGTACACGGAACAATTCCCTATAAAAAATGTTGTAAGAAAGTATCTTATAAAACCTAAATATTGTAAGTTGCTACCATATGCTTAATTTAACAATGAAAAATAAGGGGAAGTAGGAATTATAAGAATGTTATTGAGAAATTGGGTGGAATAACCGAATATGTAGAAAAAAATGATTAAAAATACATCATATTTATAAGGTTGTTTATCGCAAAATTTGATATGTATATACATAAGGTAGTTGTTTCAAGAAAATTCCTTATTCAAACATTCACTCCTTGTCTCCTATAAAATAAAATATGTACCATCAATTTGTGCGGTCTCATTTTTTTTATTCTTCTTGGTTTTCAAGACAACGTTAAATTGGAGAATATTTATGGATCAAGCATGGCCTGTGTGCTTCTACTTTGAATTGATGTTTTATTTATTTAGTATTTTTTTATATATCATTGTCAATATGTCGTGTATGTGATCTTGTCTACAACTACAGAAACCTCTTTGTTCTCTCTCTAAATCCTCTGCGACCAATATCCACCTAAAACCTAGAAACTCGCCGGAGTTCCAATGCCGCAGTAGAACTTCAGCTAGTCTCCTCCTCCCCTCCTCTTCTTCTATTACTTTCCTTCTCCCCTTCTTCTTTCCCCTTCTCTGAGGCGTCTTCATCCTCAGAAGTCGATCTCCTATCTCCGGCGAGCCTTCTTTTCTCTTATTCTTGTCCTTAATTCTCCCTTTCCCCCTCCTCTATTAAGCGTCTTTAATTTCTCACACTATAAAAGCCAACGCCCTCACCTTCTCATGTTCAGTTCTTTAAGTTTGAAGGTGTTTGTGTGAGCATATACTTGTTAAACAAGTTTCAAGGGGAGTAATTCTAAATGCCGGACTCCGTCACCTTCCCCACCTTAGCATGCGTGGAAAGATATTGTTTAAAGGGTCCCTCCGCCAGTGAAACAAGGCCTAAGACCTAGGTCTAACGCCGCCGTTATAGTCCATCAGTAATTCTGACCATCACGGAAACGATAAAGTTAGGGTTAGGATTTCGTGGGTCCTTGCACTGGAGGGCTAGGCCTAACACCGTTGTTAAGAGAAGCTCGTGACGGAATGATGAAGTAAGGGCTAGGGTTTTGAGATTCCTTATATTCATGGGTTCGTGTTTGTGTTCGTGGTTTTAGGTTTTCGGTTTAGACGGTGCTCTCCTCTAGTTTGTTATCTTTCCTAAGTATTTTTTAGTTGGTAATTATCAGAGTTTACTTGTCTTAGTTTGTTTTATGGTATTTTTTAGCTCCCTTTGGTTGTTTATGGGATATTAAGTTGTTTTGGCTATAGTATTTTGGATGGTTGTGTGTAGAGGGAGTTAGGATCCTTTGGCCGGAGTTAGTTTACTTTTATTTATAATGTTAAAAGTTGTTGTAAAGGCTTAAGTGTAAAAAGCCATGATTTAAGTTTTAGTTCATGTTCTGTATTTTATAAACTAGTTATTTTCCTAAGCAATCGCTCGGATATTCAAAAGAAGTAATTTTTCGCGCTGCGCAGCACTAGGAAACGCCCCTAGTCAGCCTAACTCTAATGCCTACGAGGTTAGAATACCCTCGTGAATTTTACGCGAAAGCAAATACTTAAACAATATAACCAGACACCCAATATTAAACCGAAAGGCAAATATATATTTTATTGATGATCAGACAAAGATACAAGTGTTTGAGTGAATAAAAATACGATCCAATCAGAATAAAGGATTGAATGAATCAACGTATGCCTTGGACAACCCCCAAGGTCCTCTATTTATAGACAAATGGGAGGACAACCCCCTCCCTTGGGCGAACAGACACGAGCGTGCATGCATGCCAAGTGGCATTCATGCAACGCCTATCTTTGGCTAAACTAATGAATAGATAAAACGATCCACATAAGCCAAACCGTCCTTATCCATAGCATAGCCACGTAGTGCCTCCTCGAAGTATCACACTTGTTCGCACCAAAAGAAACCGTTCACTCACACTTGTTAACCGTCAGCCATGCCACCATAGGCATCTCACCAACCGACGCGTCCCTTAGTGACCAACATTTGACCCATCAAGGATAACTACCTTGGCGTGTGCCCAACACACGCATCAACGAATAGGCACCAAGTAGTCTGACCACACAAACATTACTTGTGCATGCTCAACTAACATACCATTTCGCCAAGCATTGCGTCGCTCCCCAAACAACGCATCGCTTCGCCAATCGACGTGGTACTTCGCAAGCATCACGTCGCTTGGCAAGCATCGTGTCTCTTTGCTCGTTGTCAGTGCTTCGCCCAAGCATCGCAACACTTCCCAAGCGTCGTGTCGCTTCGCACCACAACCGAACCCAAACGACACTTCGCACAAGCACGCACCATACCGCAATGTCCAATGGACAACAATCAACCATATGACCTAGTAGAAGTACCATAACATGTACCATTAAGATAGTGTCGTTTCACACACAAACCGTAGCTTTAAGCCAAGTATCAAAGCACCTATGCGTGCTACGACACCATAGCCTACGCACCGCATGGCCCCAACCTAAGTCACGCATCCAATCGTACTAAGTATCAAGCCAAAAATCGTGCCAAGGTCTACCATGCCCCATACCATGCTAGCACCATACCCCTTTGCCCAAGCCAAGGAGATACCTATGGCTGCACCCAACCATAGGAGGCATTCACCCCGTAAAGAGCTTTATTTTGTTCTAGGCTTCAAATACTAGTGAACACTGGAATGACAGTAACACAATAATGGGACCTTTTGCCCATCAATTGGAACCAAAGATAGCCCATAGGTACTTAGTTAAATAACATATCATATATATAATGCTACAAACTTACAAACGACACAATTAACTACACCATAGAGTTAACAATACTATTTTCAAGTATTTACAAGCGCACCCGCGCATCATACCCATGCACGATTATTAAGGGTCTTACAAACCTCCCCCACTTAAAATCTTTGACAACCTCGTCAAACGTACACAACAATAAAAGCATACTAAATTAATCCAACATAAAATAGTAATACTAACCAAATGTACAACACCAAGTGATGCACACTTAACCCTGCAACAAAATACTTAAACAATATTGCTACAAGTTAGTATTTGTTTAATTATTAGGTATACATTTAATATTTCATTTTTCCCTCGAAAAAATATATACATATATATATTTTTTAAATAAAGGTATTATTGTTTTGTTATTTAAGTGTTTTTTTTGTTTTTTTTTTTTATATAGTATATCAATGAAAAATTATGGCTACGAAATATTATTATGGACACAACACATGTACTTCTGTAATAATCTTGGTGATTACTTTAGTATTTGACTCTTTGACTATGATATTATAAATACATTTGATGTCGTAAAAAAGTAATAAAAAAACATAAATTAATATGATGTGCTCTAATTTTTCAAAGCTTTTATAGAAAAATTTGTTAGAAAGGTATTTATATGTTCACTTTTTTGCGACGAAGGACCTTTTATGTTCAAAGTTGTGAAAAAGGTCCTTATAAATCACTTTTGGTATGAGGAGGGACTTTAATAATGTTGGAATATGACCATTAACTTTACTTTTCCGACGTATATAGACAACAAAAATTACTATTGGCTAAGAGAGTACTAAGTGTCATCGCTTTTCCACGATATTTTTTAAAAAACCTTACCTAAGGAAATTAATTTATATGTACATAGAAATCATAAGTTACTAATTCCCTTATCACATATAAACCACCACTACCAGCCTTAGCCACCTCAGTTCATTCCCTTCCCCACTATCGACCCAGTCAAGGCCTCCACTGCCACCCCCATCGCGCCTAGACCCTTGCTCCTCGCCTATGCAGGTCGCCGCCCCTCCCCTACCCCGTGTCATATCCTCTAAACCACCACACCCCCTTCCCTCCCTCAAAATTCCTAAACCAACCTTCCCCCGATGCAAAACCCCCCAACCGCCCCTCCCTACCCAAAACCCTAGTGACTAGGGGTTTTGAGTGTCGAGGGACGGGCGATCGAGGGCTTAATCGATGGGGGAAGGGCCTTTTAGGGATATCGGGGGGAGGAAGGGGGTTACGGGATAGGGTATGTGGTGTGGAGTTTAAGGGGGCGAGAAAAGGGGGTAACGGGAGGGGTGGTGCTAGAGTAAGGGGGTCTGGCATGGTGGGTTGAACTTGGTAGGATGGGGAGGGGACGGTAATGGTAGGGGAAAAGTGTGGTGGTTTTTTTTTTATATTTCTAAATTTTGTATTTTATTTTTACTTTTTTACCAATCATGGTGCCAAAACGTGCATATAACTTGTTATAACAAGTTGGATGACCATTTGGGATCATATTGATAAAATTCGCATTGTAGTTTGGATTATTAAAAGCAAACCAAATTTAGGATCATTATTGGTAGATTAGGTAACGTACGGATTATTATAAAAAATTTTTCCGACTTAATATGAAAGTTTAATATTAGATATATGAATTTGTGATAGCTAACCAGTGTGCTTCCTCGGCAATGTTCTAATTATTGTTTAGCTATTCCTCTGTCCCATAATACATTACACATTTCAAATATTACATACATGTCAATGCATTCGTTTGACTTTAGTTTTATATAAATAAATGTTAATAAAAATTATTTTACAAATTATATAATGAAACTTTATATTAAAACATACAGTATCTAACAACCTATTTTAGGATATTTAATATAAAATATATATTTTATGATAAATATACAGTACAAAACATATATTTTTATGATAAAATATAGGGTTTTTCTACATTATAACGCTCTAACTTTCTGTTTTCTACAATGTGCCCCCATTTTTTAGAAATCTACATTGTAACCCCAAAATACATTTACCGTGAAACCTAATGCATGAATAGTGAAAAAAGCCCAACTTCTCATGTATTATGGGTCGGAGGGAGTATTAATAAATGAAGTTAGTTAATTTTCTTGAAAATTGACATAATGATAAGATATAAGCAAAAAATATTATATGATAAGTAAATAAGACTGATAGAATTAGTAGATTAAAAATAATGAGATGATCATACAAGTACAAGATGTGTTACATTGATGGCTGCTTACATTTAAGAAGATTTATTCAAAGAAACAAAAGTAGATCGAAACATAAAGGATAAAACACAAACATATATATTTGGGGAACAATGTTAGGGTTTTATTAGGGTTTCCTTGTGTTATAAAAGGACCCTTTAATTGATCATTTAGATTATACCTTTTTTTGAGCAATTAGATTTAGGACTCCTTGTATTATTCTATCGTTCTTTCTCCATTATAGTGAAGAACTCTCGAATCCCCACCCGTGGATGTAGGTTTAATTTGACCGAACCACGTAAATCCTTGTGTTGTTTGTTTATCTTCTTTATTGCTTTTCTCGTTCTTATTTTTCTTTGATTTGTTCCGCATTAATCAAACACAATTACACCCTTTATTTCCTAACAAGTGGTATCATAGACAAGGTTTTAAGTTCTTAAGGTTTAGGTGTTTATAGATTAGTTTGATTAAGTTATGCCAATGAAATTTGATATTGAGAAATTCGATAGGCAAGTGAACTTTGGCCTATGGCAATTGAAGATGAAAGACATCTTGGTTCAAAGTGGCTGTCACAAGGCTCTTGAAGGTGTATCCAAAAAGCCTTCGGGCATGATGGTGGATACGTGGGAGGAGATCGATTTGAAGGCTCTTTCAGCAGTTTAATTATGTCTCTCTAATGATGTTTTGAGAGAGGTTTCCAAGGAGACGACTTCTGCGGGTTTGTGGTTGAACTTGGAGTCACTTTATATGACAAAGATCATGAACAACCGCCTACTATTCAAATATAGACTTCATGATCTTCGTCTAGAAGAAGGTAAACCGTTTAAGTCTTATTTAGATGAATTCTTCTCTATTATTATGGATTTGAAAAACATCGATGCTGAGATCGATGATGACGATATGGCTATTACGTTGTTATGTTCTTTACCGCCTACATATAAGCAATTTCGAGATACTTTATTGTATGGTAGAGATGATTTGAGTTTGGAGGATGTTAAGGATGCCTTAACTCAAAGATATTTAATTGACAATAATTTGGTTAATCTAATAATCCTGCTAAAAAAAATGCTTTAGTTTCTCA